TTGAAACCGACTACAACACATACAATGAATAATCTCAAATGCAAATTTGCCCGCCAACTTGTTGCAATTAGGGCTGTAAATGAACCAATGCACTCTATGAATAACTTGAACACGGCTTGATTAGGACTCAATCATATTCATTCAAATTAGTAAATAAATATGCTTGAACAGTTTTTAAAAGCTCGAAGCTAAATGAACTAAACATGAAAATGGTCAAACTTGTTCCTTTATGTTCACGAACAAACTAGTTTGTTGTTCAACAAATAACTTGTTAAATACTCGATATTAAAGCTCAATAATAGCTCAAATGAAACATGATATATTATTTAAATAAAATTTGATTAAATAAAATATTAACTCATTTGATAAACTTTTCAATGAAGTTTCTGAAAATACGATCGACCTTTGTGAGCTTAATATCATTAATAATAATAAAATATATTATGTATGTTATCACATTAGTAAAAAAGAAATTGAGGAGGCCTTAAAAAAATCAAGGGTGGAAAATCAGTAGGACTTGATGATATCCCAATTGAAATGTTGAAATATTTAGGAGATTTAAGAATTGTGGTCTTACTAACTCTTTAATATTATTTTAAAAACTATAAAAAAATGTCTAAGGAGTGGAGAAAGTGTATTTTGATCCCCATTTCTAAGAATTAAGTAGATGCACAAGAGTGTGCAAATTATAAAGGAATTAAGTTGATGTATCATACTTTAAAATTATGTGAGAGGGTAGTTGAACATAGATTAAGGCGCATTACAAAGATTTCTTATAATCAGTTTGGATTTATGCCAGACAGGTCTACTATTGATGTTATACATTTATTGAGAGGTTTGATGGAGAAGTACAAAGAGAATAAGGAGGATCTGCATATGATTTTTATTGATTTAGAAAAAGCTCACGATTAGGTTCCAACAGAAATCTTTTGGAGAGTTATAGAGAAGAAATGTGTTGATATGACTTATATTCAAGTCATTAAAAATGTTACTAGAGCTGTTACTTGTATGTATACCAGAGCTTATATTTGTATTAGAGTAGAAGGAGGATTGACCCAATATTTTCCTATTTCAGTTGGATTACATCAGAGATCGGCTTTAAACCCATATCTTTTTGCTTTAGCTATGAATGCTCTTACTGGATATTTATAGGAGGATGTACCCTGGTGTATTTTTTTAGCTGATAATATCCTTCTTGTGGATAAGACTTGAGAAAGAGTTCAGGAAAAACTTGAATTATGGTGGTCTACATTGAAAACTAAAGGACTTCGTTTGAGTAGAACTGAAACAAAATGCATGGAATGTAGTTTTAGTAGTAGTAACTCTAGTGACAGAGTTGTAACTATCGGTGATCAAATCATCGGTGATCAAATCATTAAAAAATATCTCGGGTCTATTGTTCAAAGTGATGGTGATGTAGATGGGGATGCTATTGGTAGAATTCAAGTTGGTTTGTTGAAGTGGAGGAATGCATTGGGGCTATCGTGTGATAGAAAGTTACCGCTTAAACTGAAAGGAAAATGTTATAAGATGGTGGTGAGACCTGCAATGCTTTATGACACAGAATGATGGCCTTTAAACGTGAATCATAAAACAAAGTTAAGTGTTGCCGAGATGAGAATGCTTAGGTGGATGAGTGGCTTGATACTTAGAGACAAAATGTGAAATGAATATATCCTTGATAGAGTTGATTTATCTCCAGTGGCGGATAAAATTAGAGAGAGTCATCTTAGATGGTTTGTACACATAAACGTCGACTATCTGATGATCCAGTTAGGAGAGTAGATATTTTAGATTCAACTTATTTTAAGAAAGGCAGAGGTAGACCTAGAAAGACTTGGGCTTATTGTATAAAAAATGATCTTAATTTATTAGAATTAAATGAAAATATGACACTCAATAGGACGCAATGGAGAAAAAAGATTCATGTAGCTGACCCCACTTAGTGGGATAAAGGCTTGTTGTTGCTGTTATATAATATTAACTTATCTGTTGATAACTCGATGATAGCTTGTATCATATATGATATATATAAATACTTGATATTAAGTTTCTGTAGGTTTTAAAGTTGTCTTTTTAGCTGTTTGGTAGGATTTAGGTTGAATCATGCTTAAATGCTACACAAATAATTTTACTGAACATCTCCCAAGTGAGGGATTTAGGGCAAAATGGAGGGAAAACGAGATTTAAGATATTGTAGGGTTTAGAGTTTATAATCAATAAATTAATGGTTGTGATCAAATTTGTAAAAGTATTTACTAAATTTTTTGTGTAAAAATTTTGATATATGTTTGAATTTTTAGGTCATTTTTTAGCTTGTTTAAATACTTGTATGCTTGTCATAAACAAATAAGTCTAAACATTGGAAAATTTAAACAAGTTAAGCTTAAATAATATATGAAACCTTGACACAAGCTTAAGCCAAACATGAACTTATAATTATATTGAACCAAGTCCGAACAATGACATACTTGGCTCAGTTATAGCCCTAGTTGCAATGCCGAGAATCAAAGCTATTGAAGGAAAGAGCTGAGTGTTGCCCCAGTAAGAAAAGTTGCCGGCAACAATATTCGTCCTGCAAAGGAAAACTGAGAACACCCAAATAAGTTCACTCATTTTTGCAGAAGGCAACACAACCAGTTTACCAAGATAATTTTTGCCATGATGCTAGATTTGAGAAGAATAAATAGTGCCATAACCGTAGCTGGTAGGAATTTAACAACCGGTTTGCTGAGACTATAGTTTTGTGCTAAATCAGAGAATTGAAAACAGTTTACTTGGGAATCAAGGAGTACTGAACAGACAGAATTTTCTGTAGTAAAGTAAAATCTAAGAGGTAATCGAAATATTAGAGAGCATAACATATTCCCAATATGATCAGTATTATAGGCATGATTTTAACAGTCAAAACTGGAAAAGAGGAAATACAATGCAAACTAACTAATTATTCCTTAATGTTGAACTTTTGTGCTTCTAACGATTATAACTTTTACTTTTCTATCACATTTATCTGACAAAAAAAATTGACTTAATGAATTGAGCATTTAATATTTGTCTAGTATGGCCATAACTGTTGTGCTTTGTGCAAGGTAATCCATATAATTGGGTCTATTATGTCAATGCCTAAGTTATTTTGACATCTAATATCAAGTGGGGACATAATTGCATAATCTTTAATAGCTTCAAGAGTAAGCTGAGCTAGTATATCTAATTTGGAAAGGATGGAAAGAGATAGGAATTCACTCTACTGGTAGTAGATTCATGAAATAAAGTCCAATCAAATATTGAGCTGATACAAATGCTTCTTGGGATTTGTACTCTGCAAGCAATTTTTTTTTTTTTTTTGATAATGATAAACTATAAAACTTAATTATAAAACTTAATGTCATGGTCTTCTTGCAGTTAATCTCTATAAAGCCCTTTGGGAAAAGTTTTAGGATTCTGATGCACGCTACCCAATCATTCACTTGAATCCCTCGTCATCTATTACCTAAACCCCCAGGAATTCATATGCTATGCAAATGTCTGTGTCATAACTGGGCTTCGAGTTAAAAGGATGTTCAACAAGATCTTTATATTTTCTTGATTGATATCTACTGTCAATTTCAAATAGACTCTTGCCTGTATGCCTAGAAAATGAATAACATTTAAGCTTAGTCATAGTATCAAATCCCAACCAATTACTTATTTTTTATTTTTACAACATAACATAGCATCTAGACTATTATCAATTACTTTAGCTTGTCCATAGGTTCATTGTTTATATGCAATTGAAAATTTTAGTCAGATTCCCATTTTGTTTTATGGAGCTTTTTCATGTAACTTACGAATTTTCTCTCTGTCATGTACTATGCTTTCAAATAATTGTATTGTATAACCAATTTATGAAAATATAACTTTCCATTTGATGTATTAACAATTTTAAAACCCAGAATAGAACAAGTCCTTTTCTGAATAACTATCAGCCTCTTTAAAGACAGAATTGTTTTTTTTTTCAATGTTTGTAGTAATCCTATAATAAAGCCCAAACTGAATTACCTCCAAGTTTTATATGGAATAGGCAAAATTTCTGAAATTGCACTAAACTTCTTTCTTTTAGTTGTTCGGCAAGTTTTGTATTGTCAAAATTCATGGGCAACATCTATTTTTATGCTTTAGGCTAATAATTCCTAACCTCATTCCTCAATCTTTTTTATGATACTATCTTAACCAAAATACCTTGCAACATCACCAACATGTTACTCGAAGATAAGAAAATTTCACAAAGATGATTCAAGAATGCAAAGTTGAGGTTCTATAAAGAAAGCTATTCTTAATTATAAAATCCTCCTTGTTAAGACGCTCGTTTGATGGGTTGTACCGCCCAACTCACGCTTCATTGTTCAACATGTAGCTGGCTCCCACTCCAAGCTACCCTTGGGTATTTGAGGTCTTGACCTTAAGTGATCTATCGAGATCCTATCGACTTAAGCATATCTTGGGGTTGTACTGCCTAGATGTTATGCCTCACATTTTGACAATTTTTAAAAGCTACCATGGACTTATGATTTTAAACATTTTGGAAGTGCTAATTGGCCTCTCCACCTTCTCCATTGAGCCTCCACATTTCAATACCAGGATTAGTTCAATGAAATATCATTTTTAGTCAGCTAGAGATGCTAGAACAATCCCTTACTATATTTTGTGTTTAACTTATGCAAGCGCAATATATATCTCATTTATTTCATGAATACTGTCTTTACCACTAATTAAAGCTCCACCGTGATATTCTCTCTTCACTGCAAAATTATTTTTTCATTCTCCTCACAACTCCTGCTTTCTAGATTATTAAGTTTGATTTCTTTGATACTAGGTTTGTGTATACTATAGCTCCTGTTATGAGGCTAGCGTTTTATTTACTGGCAATCAATTGATATGATGTTGATCTTATTATTCTGATGTTTTCATCTCTTACTTTTCTTTAAGGAGATTCTAACTGCCCTTTTCTTTTCTGGTTCTAGCTGATGCAAGGTCTCTTGTTCAGCAAGCAAGGAATGAAGCAGCGGAATTTCGCTTCAAATGGGGATATGAGATGCCTGTTGATGTGCTTGCCAAGTGGTAAGGCTCCTGTTCTCTCCAGGAACCAGCTATGGTTCTCAGTTGTGTGCGACTCATGCAAATGTCTGTTGTATGGTTAAATTTTGTAACTCTGCTTATTTTTGCAAGGATTGTTTGATTACTATCTCATAAAATTAAAAAAGAAAAAAAAAGAAAGAATTCACTTAATGCTGAAGAAAGGCTAAGAACGCATTTGGGTTGACCACCAACACATGATGCATTCGTACCTGCTGTTGCAGTGGTGTTTATATTCGTGAGGGCTTTCACGCTGTCAGCTACTAAAAAACTGCATTCAGGGAACTGTTTGCACTAGGTGGGGGGAGAGAGAGAGAGAGTGTGTGTGTGTTGCTGTGGCGGTCCAAGCTTTTGCAGCTCACAAAAATGAAGCCTAAATGGCCGGGGAAGTTTTGTGCCTCTCTCAAGTCTCTTTGTTGATTTACCTTTACCGGACACTTTTCTCTTCAATTTGATGCATGAAACCATTTTTACCCGTCATGTTGGGAAGGCGTAAACACTCAGCTTTGTTTCATCTTTCATTTCAGTTTTTTCTTGGTAATGATTTTTTTTTCTGTTTGTTTTGAGCCAACATAAACATAAATGATGTGACTCAGGGCCCACTCCTATAAACGCGCAATCAAATATATATATATATAGTTTAGGTTTTTTTGTGTGTATGTTTTCTATCGGGACAACCGTCAACGTCCTTTTTCTCTCTTCTAGGTCTGTATCCAAAGGTGGGTACTGTTTCAGTTGTAGCTCGTTCGAGGTAGTGACCATCTTCTATAAGATTGAGTGCAGTCCCTGCTGTAGCTCGTTTCTGAGGAGGTAGTTATCCTCGACTCCTATCCTTTGATGCTGCAAGTCCCCTCTCCTCATTGCATCCCCCTGGGGCAACATTTTGATTGCTGGTTTTTGCAATTTCAGCCGCCGCCATCACCTTCCTCTCCCGCTTTGCTGCCATAGCAGATCTAGACCACCCACATTTCCGCCGCCATTCCCAACCATCCTTTATTGCTGACTCTACCCAGAAACTCCTTTGCCTTGTTGTTTCATGCAGCCTTCCTGCCGTCTCCAACTCCCCTTTCCGCATTGCTGTCGCCCAAACCGTTTCTTTCTAGTATTTTTTCTACTGTTCTAGCCCTCCCACTTTGCCGCTGATGCACAAAACAATCAGGAAAAACCGTATCTTTGCTGTTACCCAACTAACCACTTCAACTTTGTGCTGCCTCCAACCAAGATGACAATCATACTTACTGCCTCTGTAGTCTAGCTCCTTTCTCGCTGCAACCATCTTGTATCGTTGTTACCGCATCTTTCCGCTATTCTAATCCTTCTAGCCGATCTCCACCACCCTTGGATCAACTACTAATTGAGTTCGTGTTGTTTTGTGTTTGTGCTGCTTTTCCTTTAAGTGTGTTTGGCTGTAATCGCACGTTGTTTTTAGTAATAATATTTGTTTTCCTATTGTTGTTTGTGTTAACTCCGGTATCATTTGGTATTAGAGTTAGCTTAATGCAAGTCCTATCCTAGAGTTTTTAGCCTCCCCCTCCAAAAAAAACTAAAAAAATTCTTTCCCCCACCTACTAACCTTCCACTACCTATACCCAAAACGCCAACCATGCCACCGCTAATCTGATCAAGAACCTAACATGGACGACATATGATGATTATTCTGCCAAGTGCTACATCTACTCGAGTCCATTGAGGAAAAAACCCAAGGTGGGATCACCATTGACTGTAATAGTGACAGTCACGAAGGAGAGCAAGTAGAACCCTTCAATCCTTTCTGTAGGGATGATTCTAATAGAGGAGAAGACACACTACAATGCTTTGGAATACATTATCAGCGAAAATCTAGAGCTAAAGTGCCTATTGGAAGATACAAAGATGAGGTGATCGTTGGAGGATACATGGATCATATGCCTGTCAGAGGATGCAAAGATCTTGGAATGAAAGTGGACCTATCGTACTTCCAGGGGAGAATAAATTCAGTTGACTTCCTCGAGTGGATGCAGATTGTTGAGTGGATTTTTGAACACAAGGAGGTGCTCGATGACAGAAGAGTGAAGTTCTCCACCATCAAGCTGGAGAAGAGTGCTTCTTTGTGGTGGGAGAATCTGAAAAGGGAGAGATAGAGAGAAGGACAAAATCATTGCTTGGGAGAAGATGAAACAGGAAATGCACTAATAGCACCTCCCCCATGCTATTACCAAAATATCTTCTTGAAGCTTAACTAGCTGCAACAGGAGCTGTCAATGTAGGAGTGCACAATGAATTTATGTAGCTAAAATTGAAGTGTGAGCTAAAGGAGACAGAGGAGCACACCATAACGAGATATTCATGTGCTATATCCAGATATCTGTGAGGCATGAACCTTGCCATCAGTAATGTGGTTCAATTGCAACTTTATTGGACATCGAGGGACATGCAGACTTAAATATTGAAAGTGGAGAGACCATAGAAGCAGAGCAAACAATCACTGCCAATCAAACAACTACCCATAGTTGTAGACCTTAGGAGGAGCATGCCTCAGGGAGTGGAACAAACTGGTTAGGAGCAGGACAGTGCCGCTCTGAGTGAGAAGAAGCTTAAGAAGAGTAGCATGACTACTACAATCTTTACCAAAAAATGCTTCAAGTGTTATGATTTTGGACACATCGCTTCCAGTTGCCCTACTAGCTGAGTTGTGACTTTCACTGAGCAATGGGTAGTGAAGGAAGTTAGCGACGAACAAGTGACCATCTTTTATCAGATGAGAGCGAGATGCTTGTGGTCCGATGAGTCCTTCAAACTAAGACATCGAGGGATTAATAAAGGCTTCACCACAATGTATTCTATACTTGTTACACCGTGGAGAGAAATATATGCAACAAAAACGTAGCATCAATAATGATGGTGGACAAATTAAGCATCATGATTCAGAGACATCCACAATCATATTCCCTAATATGGTTGAAGTAGGAGAACAAGACCGACATTGACAGGTTTCTCCTAGAATTTTGTATTGAGAATCAGTTGCAGGATCAAAGATAGTTTAACGTGGTGCCAATGGATGCATGCAACTTTTTTGTTGGGAAGATTGTGGTAGTTTGTTTGCCGGACTTAGCAAGACGAGTTTAGGAACACATACTCCAAAGATGGCAAACCCATAGTCCTTTTATTTTTTGCGGAGTTCGAAATGACAAGCGCCTTTGCCAACAAAGAAGTGTCTGTAAGATCATTTTTGGTGATGACAGAGGATGGCAAGAAAGATTAGCTAGTTTCAGATACTAGACAACCATTACAGAGAGAAATTCAAGGCATCTGGTTCGATAGCTTACAACTATGGCCGCCGCCAGTCGTGAAAGATCAGGTTGGGCCAACTTGGGGTTACTTTGAGAGGATTCAACGAACTTTACATGACACGCAGACCCAGTTCAGTGCAGTAATGTACCTCCAGAAGATTGGACCATTATGGATGATTGCTCGCAAGTGAGAAAAACTACTCAGGTGTTTTAGGAGACGGTGTAGTCGACAGTGGGGTCCCGACGCTTCTAGGGCCACAATTGAAGATTCTTCAGCCTTGGGAGGTTAAAATAGCTTCATCCTTCAACATGTTGATAAAAACTTCGATGAATGTGATCCAAGCTCTCCCAATCTCGGGAGGCTGATGCGGGGCGTCTTTGCGCCAGACGCTGCATATGCCACTATATTGCCTCAAATTTGTTCGTTTCAGTCGGTCCTTCCAAGCATGGTTTTCCCTCCTATTTGGAGCGGAGCCTACTCCTCTTTTCTTTAGGTCTCTATATATGCTATTTCTTAGAGTTTAAGTCAGTTTTTGGCTTATATTTTTTGTTAGGATAGTTGGTGCTCCAACCGTGGGTTTTTTGAGATGATGATAATCTTCCAAGGGATCGAGTGGTGCTCTAGCTGTAACTCACTCCTGAGTAGGTAGTCATCCTCGACTAGCTCCTTTTATCCTTCATTGCCGCAATTCCCCTTTTCTTGTTGCAGTCGCCTAGGGAAACATTCCGATTGTTGTTTTCTGCACTTCCAGCCGCCGCCATCATCATCTCTTTCCTTCGCTTCGCTGCCACAGCAGGTCTAGACCACCGACATCGCTGCTTCTGCCGCTTAGCCATCCTGTATCGCTGCCGCCACCCACCCTTCGCCTAGTTGTTTCCTGTAGCCACCAGCCTCTTAGCCGCCTCCCACTTCCCATTGCGCCTTGCTGCTGCCCAAACCATCCCTTTCCAGTCTGGCTCCTGTTATTCCAGCCCTCCCACTCTTCCAGGGCGCACAGGACAGCCAAGAAACACAACCTCTCTACTGTTCCACGACTAACCATTCCAACTTAGTGCTGCCAATAGCTAGGACAGCAATCATACTTGCCATATCTGCAACCATCTTGTACCCCTACCGCCACCCTGGATCAACCCTTAATTTTGTCTGTGTGTTGTGTTTGTGTTGTTTTTGGCTGTAATCACATATTTGTTTTTCAGTGATAATATTTGCTTTTCTATTATTTCTTAACTTCGGTATCACGTTGTCTTATGTATATTTGAAATTCAGTGCAAAGACTTTATTCCTGACTAACATATCTTATTTAGCTTTGAAAGGTCTTTTCTTATTCCTGATTTTCTTTTACTGCGTAATTGAGATTTGTGGACGGATTCCTTCGCTTTTTTGAAGTTTCGGGTCTATAGCCGTCGTAGTAATGAATTCAAACTTAATTTGGTGAGAAGTTGGGGTTTTTTTTCCCTCCATTATTCAAAAACTTTGGGACATTTATATATGCGGACTTTAAGGCATAAAAAAAGTTTACCATTGTCGATCTTCTACTTTTACCTCTACAATACTGATGCTCTGTCTTGTAAATATCATGCATATAGGTGTTTATAACATGTTGAAGTGTACATAAGATGATTTTATTTTGATTTTTATGACTAAAAAGGTTTATTTATTTGTTATCGTAAGGATACCTTTTGTTAGGCTTTGTAGGATTGGAAAGATCCAATCGTATGGGTACAGGGTTTTTCTTTTTTGGATAGTTGTATACTTTGTAGTTTTGTTAATCTCAGAAGTGCTTTAGAACTTTTCAATTACCCTTGATTTAAAGAAGTTTTTTGTTCTCTCCTACTCATCTACAGGATAGCTGACAAATCACAGATATATACACAGCATGCTTACATGCGACCACTTGGAGTAGGTCAGTTGCTACACATATAGATAAAAATGAGTGAAGTGTAAAAATAGTCTCTTACCTACTTAAATGAGGCCATTTTAGTCCCAGAGTTTTTAAAAGTGCTTAGTTAGTCCTAAACTATTTTAATGAGGGCTAAAATAGTTCTCATCGGGGAATATTTAGCAAATATTAAAAGAGTCTAGGTATTTAACTGGGCCATATAAACTCCAAATATTAAAAGAGTCTAGGTATTTAACTTGCCCATATAAACTCTGGGACTAATATGAACCCCTACAAATAGTCGTGACCATATTAACACTTTTCTTGATAAAAAAATTTGATTAAAGCTATGGGAGCTTATTTCAATTCTAACAATTTCTGACCTTCATCATATGCGATATATGAAGTTGCAATGATATTGGGCATTGATGAAGAAAAAGGACCTCAGCTATTCAAGTGTGACCCTGCTGGTCATTTTTTTGGCCACAAGGTACTTGGACTTGCAAACTCTTTCCAGGTTTTTTTTCATGCATTTAAAATCATGCTAAACCTTACAGGTTAGGTTCAGGATTGTCTGTCCAGAATTCAACATCTATTTCTAGTTTGGGGCATTTACATACATATCACACAATTTCTATGTATTTACATATCTAAAGCCTAAACATTACTCTTTGCATATACCACCCAAATCTTTCTTATCATATAAAAATATCACCATTTAACTTTCAAAAAGTGAAATGCACCTTTTCATGCATAGGGAAGGTGGCATAGATGTAAAAATTTAAGTTTATAGTTGTTAGATATGTATATACATAGGAATTAAGTGGTATGTATGTAAATTTTTTTTCTAATTTTTCCCATGTGTGATTAGATTATGTTCCATCTTAGCATAGCTAGTTGTATTTTGTGTTTCTGATCTGTAATTCATCTTATCTGAGTGTATCATATCATTAGTAATGTTGCCTGTGAATGGCTATTCGTATATCCATTGCAGATTTCTTTTTGGCGTTATATCTATATATTTTATTTCATTAATTATGTAGTATGCATTGCGGATTATACCTTACAAAAAAAATCGTGCTATTGTGACAGGTCATTTAGTACTAAAATGTTATTTATTTATTTATTTTTCATGCACTGCATACGAGGACACCTACTTCATTGTCTGAATTATTTAGCTAAGGCTATCAAGGATGCTTTGATGATTTTCAACATGTTAGAAAGTGCCTTGTGGCCAAATTGATATCTATAGCTAAATGCCAATGACATAGAAATTATATCTTTTTGCACAAAGGTATAATTTATTGTATTTTGCAGATCAGGCAAGTTTTTTCAAGGGTTAAAAAACTATTTGTTTTTTTGTATGAAAGCATAACTGGATACTTTCAAGTATGATCTGCGTCACTTGCATTATCCCAACTGTTTAGCCGAGGCTTTTATAGCTGTTGTGTTGATTGGCTTCTGTGCTATAAAAAGTTCTTCTGCATCCAAACTTAGATGACCGGAAAATTTGACTTACATTTTGTTTACTTGCGTTTCTAGCGCTTGTTGAGAAGATTTATTGTTTCCTGAGATGACATAAGCTGAAGTGTGCGATGCTTACATTTTTATTTATCATTGCGAGCAAGCTGGTGGAAGGCCTCCTATTTGGCAGAATTTATATGGAAGGTTTTGATTTTATTTTCAATCTTAGGATTGTCACAGTAAACAACTCTGTCAACAAAGGACTTGCGTGGCTTAATCATTATTATTATTATTTTTAAACTGCTCTGAATGCCATTCAATGTAGTGGCCCTGATTTTTCTGAGATGGTCACATACTATTTTGTGGCTTATGATTTTCTCAACTGCATGATATGTTGGCATGTTGTGGTTAATTTCGTAATTGAAACTTTTCTCTGTGACTCTCTTCCATCTTCCCTTTTTTTAGCGTGACTTTATTTGGGAATGCATTGCTTGTAATACATAAATCCCCACTGTGTATATTGCTAGAGGTAATCAGGCTAAGACAGCCTCTATTCTGAAACGAAGAACAACAAACATGCAGGAAGTGCAAATATCATCAACATTATTTGTTTTCAAGTGACTGAAATATGCAAAAAAACAAATTCCAAATTTTGTATTCTTCCTAACTTTTTGAAGTTTGCTGTTTAAATGATTCACATCGTGACATGTCGGGAATATTGGATACGTCTACCAACGAAGGTGAATTTCAGATCTGTAAGTGTAGATTTTACCTAAATTTCAAAAAGAAAGATGGCGAAGATCTAAATATTAAAAGGGTTTGTGAAGATCTAAATATAAAAAAGCTACGATCAAATCCATTTGTTATATTGGAATTCCACAAAAAAACTTTTAGGTGCATGCAGATTAAAGATAAAATGTGGAATTAAATAAAAAGGAATAGAAGATTTAACTGAATGAATGACTTCATTGTTTTGATATCTCTAGATTCTCCAGTGGTTGGGGACATTCATCATCTTTTTTGTCCAAAAACCTTTGAATAGGATTCTCCAGTGGTTGGGGATATTCATCATCTTTCTATTTCAATTACCTTAGAATAGGATTCTTTGAGACAAATAGAAGCATTACCATGAAGCAGGAATAGTTAGGACAGCGCACATGATAGAACACTTTAAACACGTTTAATTAGGCATTTAAGACATCAGTGGAGGTGACTTAAATCCCATAATTTCACAGGAGTCCCTCATCCTTATCATCTGCCGCCGTAAATTATGGTATAATCAGCTATTTCATGATCTCAATTTTGCACAGAAAAAAAGATCATAAATGTGAAATTAGGTGTATAATGCACATCATAAAATTGATGACATGTTGATTTACACCGACTCGGGTAATGTAAGGAACAAATTGAAACCAATTTTTTACTGTTTGATCGCAATTTCTCTCACCCAAAAGAGTATTTTGGATTAAAAAGGAACTGCTGCTTTGAAAATGCAACGATCTTAATCATGTAGATGGACTGAAGATAAAATAAATAAAGAAAAAAATGCCATTGGCCTGCTCTTCCATTTTTATGTACCTTTAGTTTTTTATATTCTCCGCATGCCCTTATCAGTTCAAGTTAATGTTATTTATAATGTAATTCATCCATCTTTGTGAGATTATAGGGAACTTTAAACACACAACACTGCTCGGCATGGCATTACCAAACAAAGCCATATTGCTGCATCCTGGAGTGCTATAATGGTTCTGCTGCCGCTTTAATTTTTGTTCTCATTTTTCGAACTCTAACTATAATTGTCCTACAGGAGCTAATTTGACAACTAATGTACTAAATCTGTTTTTAGGAAAACTAAGGCGATGATGTAAGCAACACTCTATTCTGTGCTGAACAAGTTCGTTTCTTGTGAGGCTTACGTCCATTTTGTCCGCCTCAAATGAGTAATATATTATATTATATTTTGTTATTATGTAGAAAAAAAAGAAAAAGAAAATCAAAAGAAGTGTAAAAATGATCCTCTGACTTTTTACAGGGGGCTATTTTAGTCCCATAAAAATGTAAATTTAGTCCTTGGACCTTTTTAATGACTAAAATAGTTCTTACTGGGATTATTTCAACTCGTATTAAAAGGGCCTGGGGATTAATTTGGAACTTTTATGTACTCTGGGACTAAAGTGGTCCATGTAAATAGTCAGGGGAATTTTTTGGCACCTAACAAAAAAAATCAAAACATATTTTAAGTTTGATCAATTGTCTGTGATATTAATTTGTTAGTTTATTTTAAAATATATTAGATTTAATGTTAAGTGACATGGAGAGTAAAAAGAAAATGTAAGAATTGGCGAAGACTTGGCAGTTGCCAATGATATAGAATCCGATGGTGATAAAATTAATAGATATGAGAATTCTTCTAAAATAATGGAAGTTATGATGAGGTCGCTATAGCTCTTAATCTTTATGATGTGTTTTTAAATAAATGTTTATCTTGAATTTCATTTTAAACTTTTATTTTGAGTCAACATTCAATATTGAGAGCTGCGATTTATTTCTTTTTGAAAATAAACATAATTAATATATTGATGGTTTATGTCATATTCTTGAATTATTTTTAAATTTGTGAGCCTTTTTTTTCTATTTTGAGGCTTAAGCCTCGCTTCGCCTCGCAAAGACAAAACCTCTGATTTCTTAATTTTGTCTTTTTAATTGGGATTAGACAAAGTTCTAATATTTATCCGGACTTATAATACTCAGGCAACAAGTGCTGGATTGAAGGAGCAAGAGGCAATCAACTTTCTGGAGAAGAAAATGAAGAATGATCCTGCATTCTCATATGAGGAGACTGTGCAGGTATGACTTATGTGTTGGAAATTGTTATTAACTTTTGGCATCCTTAAATTTATGATGGTCTCTTGGGACAACAATACTATTTTTCTTTTATGAATTGGTCATCTTAGAAAAAATAAATTCTTATTTTTATGGTCAAACATACTTTATCAGGTTGAAAATGGATAAATCCTTTAGATTTGGAAGAGAAAATAATACCAGAGTTAACCCAACTAGCGACCGAACATAAATATTGTTGCCGAAAAACTCGAAGGGGATTATAATAAAGGTTCTTAAAACAGGAATAAAGCAAAAAAAAATGCAAACAACTCTCTAGGGCGAAGACGAGAATGGTGGACTACGGCTTGACAACAAGCAGGGAAGGGGGTGGATGTGCAACGACAGGCAGCGAGTGGTTGGATGTGTGGTTGCGACAATTAGCAGGTCTGGATGGGGCCTGCAGTAGCAACATGAGGATAGGCGATTAGGGTAGGCAGGATGGCGACAAGTAGATGGGCATCACGCTGCAGGAAACAAGGAATAGGGGTCCGACAACCAGTAGGAAGCTTGGGAGATTTTGTGGCACATTAGCAGGGAACTCGGGGTTGGCAGCTGGGAAAACAGGGACAGGGAGGGGCGCAGGTAGGATGGCAACAAGTAGGTAATGGATTGAGCGAATGATTATGTGGAGGTAATCACCACCTCAGAGTATGATACAATCGGAGCACGATCTGTCCTCGGATACAACCTTAGCAAGGGAGAAAATGCCAATGACAAAAAATTTAAGACAAAGACTAAACCCTAACACAAAGAAAATACATACATACATACATATACTCATATATAAGTATATGTATGTATGTATGTATTTAACTAGGAGAGGGAGACCTTCTCTTGGGCAACTTAACCCATTAATATGGGCTAGCCTACCCTTGCTTGTCGAAGCTTCAGGGTCCTCGTAGCATTGAGTCAGTCTGCCATGTTGAAGGTAGCAGAGATATTATAGTCCTCTGGTAGGTCAATCTTATAGATATTGTCGTTCTGCTTCTTGAGGATCCTGAAATGTCCACTTGCTATGGGCTTGAGTTTCCCGAACGCTTCCACTAGAAACTTTTCTTTATTCAGTCGGATCCACGCTATATTCCCTTCTTGAAACATCACCTTTTTTTTGGTCTTGTTGGTCTTTGTTTGTTTCTTGCGATTCTGCTTTGAATCTCCTTTTCCTACTTCTTCATTTCTGAATCTCTTGCACCTATTCTGCAACATCCTCTCCAACCTTTGTTGTCAGCAGGAGTGGTACCAAGTCACATGCAGGAGTGGGTTGCATCAGTATACAATCTCAAATGAGGTGCGACCTGTGGTCCGACTCACCAATTTGTTTTAAGCAAATTTAACTTGAGCTAGAATCAAATCCCACTGATTAATATTCTTTCTCATAAAGCACCTCAAAAGTTTTCCTAGACTCTTGTTCATAACCTTTGTTTGACCGCCCGCCTATGGGTGATCTACTGAGCTAAATTGAAGCTCGGTGTTGAGATTCCCCTCCAAGGTCCTCCAAAATTGACTCAGAAGCTTAACATCTCGATCGGAAGTGATGATCTTGAGTATCACGTGTAGTCTCGTGACCTCCTTGAAGTACAAATCAGAGACATGCGATACGGCCAACATCCAGTAGCAGGGCACGAAATGCACCATCTTCGAAAATTTATCCAACACAACCATCACAGAATCCTTATTCCATTGTGTTCTCGAGAGACCATGTTGTACGGGCATAAGACTGTATAGTCCTGCATTCTGTCCCGTAGTCTGCCATATGACAAATCCGAGAATAGCTGCATGTCACTCCACATCTCTCGTCATTCGAGGCCAATAAATGTGTTCTCCCATGAGTGCTAGAATGTTATCCTTACCAAAATGTCCTGCAAGTTTTCCATTGCTACTCTTCTGAATAATGAACTCCCTCAGCGAACATCTAGGAATGCACAATTTATTCTGGTGGAACAGGTAACCTTCATCTGTGTGGTACTACTTGGTACACTGTTTGCAGAGCCCTCTGAAGTCATCGTCTATCTCGTGCAACTCCTTTACTGACTCAAAATCTTCAACTCGAGTCTGCATTAAAGTGATCAACAAGTGATTGCGGCTTAGTGCATCTGCTACTTGTTTATTGCTCCTCGCCTTGTGCTTAAGCACGAACTGGAACAATGCTAAGAACTTCATCCAAGACATGTGTCGGGGCCTTCAGTTTGTTTTGGTTGTTCAAGATTTTCAAAGTATCATGATCCGTGAATTAAGTGAAGTTGTTTGTCAGTAGGTAGTGACTTCAGTGATTAAGAGCTCTCACAATAGCACAAAACTTCTTGTCGTACATTAAATATTTCCTCATGAACTCATTCGACTTCTCACTGAAGAAGACTGTAGGTGGCTTCCCTGACTTAGCACGGCTCCTATCACCACATTCGATGCGTCACACTCCATCTCGAACAACTGATTGAAGTCCAATAATGTCAAAACTTATGCTTGAGTCACCTTCTCCTTTAGTGCGTCAAAAATGAATTTAATTATAATTTTTTAGAATGACATTCTTATATATACTACCAAAATCAATAACGCAATAGTAGATGGTCCAAGTGATCCTCTTAATTATAAGATTTTGTCTTATAAATTAAGTGCCTTAATAACATCAAAATTAATTGATCACAACCTCATTGAATTTAAATTATTGAGATGCTCGATTTTATTATAGGCATGCAAGATTTATAAATTATTGGGCTCTCTAATTAATGCTTTATGTTTTTAATTATGCTCTAAGTGTTTGATAATGCTTATTTAACTACAAGAATACTCCTGAATACCGACTGAATTTCTGATCGTTTTTTTTTTGCCAATTTTTCTTTAAGCTGAAAATTTTAGAGAAATTCGTTAGCACCCAAATATTGAGCTAAAAAACGGTCATTAATGGATTAGTTTAAAGACTAAAAATTGATTGAGTTTTCAACTGTATAATAATTCACTTAATAGAAGTAGATTACCGGCCAAAATTTCAATCGCAAAGGTTTAGCTGCTGAAATATAAGCCATAAATCCACTGATAACTTTTTAAAACCTAGTATGATCACGTGAAACCCTCATTTTTACTCATTTTTCTTAAGCTTTGGCAATCTTTGGGCTATGGTGATGCTCACGACTACGCATCTCCAGTGACAATCACAGCTCTTTCTTCTCTCCGATGATGCTCGTGAGAAGATATTCCACCCCCACAAATTAAATTCACTCTGAGATAACATTCATTTTCTTATCTTGATCAACTGATTGAAGTCCGGTAATGTCAAAACTGGTGCTCGAGTTACCTTCTTCTTTAGTGTGTAAAAAATGAACTGAGATGTATTTGTCCATCAGAATTTCTCCCCTTTCAAAAGCTTTGTCAGGGAGCTGTGATGATACTGAAACTTTTGATGAATTGCCGGTAGAATGATGCTAGCCCAAGAAAACTGTCTTAGCTTGGTGAAAAACTAAGGTGCGGTCGAGCTCGCAATGGCCTTAATCTTTGTATGATCCATTTAAATGTCTGTACTAAACACGATATGACCCAAAAAGTATACTTGTGATGTCATGAAGCGTCTTTGGATGTGCGTATAACTTTTCTGATTGCAAAACTTTGAAAACCGTTCTCAGATGTTGCAAGTGCTCCTCAAATATATTGAGAACCAGAATATCATGAAAGTACACTACTAAATTTTTTTTTTATGTGAGCCTTAAACACCTGATTCATCAATCTCATGAACGTGCTGGCCGCATTAGACAATTTGAAAGGCATGACTGTCCACTCTTATAATCCATCCCGAGTTCTGAAGGTTTTGCTAATAATCTTTTCTCATCTAATAATCTTGTCATTTCCTTCTCTCTTTCTACGCCTTTGCAAGTTTTTCCACCATAAGTGCTCTTTCAATTCGTTGGCTGCGAGCTTCACTTTCTTATTCTTTGACACTTCTCTGTACTCAAAGATTCTCTCAAATTGATCGCATCCACACAATGAAATTATTGGGATTCATACCTCCATTGTACTCTGACAGGTCCACCTTTATCTCAAATCTACTTTATTCTTCATATGTGGCCTCATCTGATACTAAATTCTGAAACATCGGGGTCTGTCTTTCTCCTAACTGAAGTCTTCCAATGGAAAGGGTTTATTTCTTCATTCCTTTCTCTTCTTCGACTTCTTATATCATGATTGAGGGTGATTTCATCCTGGGTTCCTTCATCAAGCTCCGTAAGTTTTTGCTGAAGTCGATGAATCTCTCGCTTATTACTTTCTGGGTGGGTTGTGGCATGTGTCTTCTTGGTGGTATGATTAGGTTTTGGGGATTAGAAGTGGTGTTCGAGGATAGGAAGGAGAGGGGAAGTGGGTGCAGTGGTTTGGGCAAGGCGGATGGTAGGAAATATTCAAATAGGACTAGGGTTAGGCTAGCACTGATACCAATTATTGCCAAAACTAGCCTAACCCTCGATGGAACATAAATATTATTGTTAATAATTCGAAGGGGATTACAACAAATTTTTTAAAACATAAATAAAACAACAAATAATTCAAACTACTCTCTTGGGTGAGGAACAGATGGTGGACGGCGGCTTCATGGCTTGGTAGTAAATAGGAAAGGGGGTGGATGTGCAGCGGAAGGCAGCGGGTGGCTGGATGGGGTCTGCAACAACAATAGGGTGGTAGGCGGTTGGGGTGGGTGGTTAGGCAGCAAGTAGGCGGGCAGCAAGCAACAGGAAGCTAGGAATAGGGGTTGTGACAATCAACAGAAAGCCTGGGAGATTCTACTGCACAACAGGAAGGGAGCTCAGGGGTTGTCAACTGGGAGAACAGGGAGGGGTGCAAGGAGGCTGGCAGTGAGCAGGGAATGGATTATGTGGAGGTCATCATCACCTCGAAGTAGAATACAGTCGGAGCATCACCTGTCCTCAAATTCAGCCCTAACAAGGGAGGAAACACTGATGGTAGGAAATCTGAGACAAAGTGAACCCTAACATAGAATATATATATATATATATATATATATATATATAGGTACAAGAAGGTGAGGCCCTTCCCTCTTGGTGGCAACCCTAAGCCATTAATATCCCTCCACCCCCTTTTCTACGGCCATGGCCCTGGCCCCGACCCCGGCCCCGGCGTGGAGCCCTGCATCAGAAAATGTGCCAAGATATACACTGCAACCAAGTGCTCAGTTTTTTATGCTCAATTCTTTTGTTTTAAGAAACTCTTGAGGGATATTCAATGAGCTAGTTGTTAATCCTCATGGTAATGTTACAGTATAAAGCTGTAGATAAATAAAACAACATGGAAACACACTATCATGGAAACACACTAGTTATATAAATTTTATGAGCTAGTTGTATAAACTTTATAATACTCCTTATTCTGATTTTACTTCACGATTTTGGAAGAGCCTTGCTGTAACTATCATGGAAACACACTAATTCTCTTCAATTACACGATAATTTTACTGTCTAATTACTGCACTACAACTAATCTCATTTTGGAGGGTTGGAATAGAGTCCACAACTTGTTCAAAATTATTCTAGTTTTTTATGAATTTAATCCGAGCTGCTCAAATTGAAACTGCTAAATGTTTACTCGAAAAAAATCTCTCTTACAAATTAGCCTGAATAAATCTGCAATATTCTACCTTCATGAATTAAACTCCTACTATTGATTGGGTACTTGAAATTATTCTTGCAGACTGCAATATCTGCCCTGCAATCAGTTCTACAGGAGGACTTCAAGGCAACAGAGATCGAGGTAACTTCTATCTTATTGTGTGCATATTTCCTTTCCAGCAATTTTTTTTTTGTTTCTTTTTTATCCTACTAGACAACTGATTACATGACTTCTATAAGCAAAATAAAGGAATGTAGGGGACAGCATATGTAATAAAAATAAGGGGAATTTACATACACAAGACCTAATTCTTATGCATTTACATATCTCACACCAAAACTTTGCTGTGTTTGTCAAAATCAAAGTTTTGGTGTGAGATACATAAATACATAAGAATTGGGTGCTATGTATGTAAAGCTCCCTAAAAATAAATGAACCATGAAAATGCTCCATTTTGAAGTGATGAGATGATTTCCCTTTAAATTTAAAATTTTAAATTTTATGAGAGAATATAGATCCAAAATGAAGCCATAGAATAGTGGCCATTAGAGTGTGATGAAATTATCTAGGTGTTTTCAAATCATTTTCGAGAGTGATATCATAATTTGTAGAAAATGTCATTATAGTGTTTCCAAATAATTCTCTTCTTTGTTCAACATATCTGGCTTTGATATCAAAATAAAACTTCACATTGTCCACGCAATTATGAACTAATGCAAAGAAATGTTGAGGAAAGTGAAACTAAAAAGGGAACTTTTCATACATACCACACAATTATTATGTATTTAAATGCCTAACTTCTAAACTTTTATATTTATATTTTTGACACTCATGAATGGGTGTGTTACATTTTTAAAAAGTTAGTAATAATGGTAATTTTTATGTGATGTTGAATATTTAAGTGCTACATTTGCAAATATTAAAGTATAGGCGTTAGATATGTGTATCCTGAAGAAATATATGGTATATGTGTAAATTTACCTTATAAATCGGAGAGAAATTGTTTCGTTTGTGAATTTCAATTTTTAAAATTCTGGGATAATCATTTTCCTTTTAAAAATTTTAAATTAAAAGCAATATTACAGATGACCACTCAAGTGTGTTAAAACTAAGTCTTTCAAATAATTAATTAGAGTGATATTAGAGTCTGAATAAATTTTTATTTTCTTAATATTTTTTTTACTTTATATTGAACATATTTGAATTTGATATCAAAAACAGCATTTACATGCTTTGATATAGATTTATAAAGCCGTTTTATATTTGTATCCATCATAATTATCTGATAATTTGTAATGAGGAAAAATATTGTATAAAAATTATTTCTCTTTTCAAATATTGAAACATTAAATATTTCAATATTAATAAATATGTAAACCCATTGATATTAACTGAAATTTATCCATTTTTAAAATTTATCATTTATTGAAAGTTTCATAGTAATTTATTCTTCTAAATTAGACTTGAAGAGTGAAGTATGCTAAAAACTTTGGATCAAATTTGCATATAATATCTAAATTCACTACAAAATATCATCCTTTTTTTTTTTTTTGTCAAATCTCTACGTAGTGGAATTTACTAGAACTAAATGAAAATATGACACTAAGGGTGCGTTTGGGGTAGCTTATCCGTTGCGACGCGTTTTGAAAACGCTGTCTCACCATTCGGAAACTGCGTTTGAGCAACGTATCTGAAAACACAGTTGGTTTTTTACACTAAACGTGGAACGCAGGTCGAACCCAGCGATCCGCATTTTTAGATAGGTGACTTATCTGGATAATCACGAGCTACCCCAAACGCACCCTAAATAGGACGCAATGGAGAAAAAAGATTCATGTAGCCGACTCCATGCGGTGGGATTAAGGCTTTGTTGTTGTTGTTGTTGTTGTTGTTGTCAAGTCTCCAAATGTTTACATGGGTTCGATCGTTAAAGAAAGAGAATGGGTGTTAGTTTTATAAATATGCATATTTTGGGTGTCATGCATGTAATTATCCCATAAAGATCTGGCTCACCTCAAGATTTAGAAAAAATGACTTGAATGTTGAGTTAGGACTGAATGAGGTGGAAAATGGCTAAATAATCCAATAAAAGAGCATCCCAAATTAAATTCATCTTATATTCTAGTCATTCATTTGAAATGGAAACTCAGTTATCACGTTTTTTTTCTTTTCTTTTCTTTTTTTTGTTTTGAAGATTTATATATACACCACTTAATTCCTATGTATTTTCATTTATAACTCATAAACTTCAACTTATACACATATGCTTTCTTATTCTTTCCTGAGCATGAAAATGTTGTATTTCACTTTTTAAAAGTTAAAATAGCGGTATTTTTAATCTGAAATAAAAGAGTGGGTGATATAAATGTAAAAAGTAGAGTTTGTTAGATATGTAAATACATAGAATCAGGCGATATATATGTAAATGGACATTTTATTTTTTAAAAAAAAATGTTTATATTTTGTAGGTGGGAATTGTGAGAAAGGATGATCCTATTTTTAAAGTGCTATCTGTAGAGGAGATTGACGAGCATCTTACCGCCATCAGCGAGCGAGACTGAACTGAAATTTTCATCAAAATTATATATTACAGTTTCTGCAAATACGACTTGGGGACTTAAATCATAAAAAGTCTGTATTTGAATACAATTTTACATTTCACCCCCACCCCCCCAATCACAGTATTTGTAGTTTTTTATCACAAGAGTTCTCAGGACCTGTTAATTGTACCGTCACGTTTCTTATGATTCACCTTAATTGCTGCTTGCATTTGTTTTTAGTCCCAGGCACTCATATTTTGCACATAGATCCCTACTTCAGTTCAAATTTCTTCATGCAGAATTTACTGTGTGTTACGTCGGATTGCTTTTTTCCCTATATATGGCACAATTCTTATGTATTTACATTTCTATCATCTAAAATTTCATATTTATACTTATATCATTAACCTATACATGTAGTGCATGTTTCACTCTTAAAAAATTTCATATTTAGATAGGTGCGGTCTGAAAATGTTGTTTTCAGCGTTTTCAAAACGCATAAGCTGTCAAAATACAGTTTACCCAAAAAGGTCAAGTGCGTTTTTAAAACGCCACCGCACCAAATAAGCTGCTCTAAACGGATCCTAAATCACTTAAAAATGTTACTGTAGAGAAAATGTCACCATCTGATATTATTTTATATTGCTTTCATGGTGTTTTCAGTGACCAAATTGTATTTTTTTTTTCATTTAAAATTGACTATTTTATTTTCATATTTGTTGAAGTCTTATTGGCCAGCATTACTAATAAAGTTTGATAGTGGTATTTATTGGTAAGTTTACCTAGCAATTCTTATCTATTTACACATCTAAAATTCAATTTTAATATTTATATTTATAATATATTGATATTAAAAACTCTTGCAAGATGACCATAGACGCAAGCATCTATAAATTTTAGGGGCTTTGGAGGGCCATGACGCAAGCCGAGTTCACGTGTCGCAGTGGTCGATCTATGCCCGCCACAAAGTGGTTGAACTAAGCCCACCAGTTAAAACGACGAACTGATTTTCTCCAAAAATTGTGTGATATTCATAAAAATGCCCCAAGAAAGAATCCTATTTTCTCTTCTAATCATTCATTTATATTAGAAAATTATTAAGTCAAATAGATATTTTTATCACACCCCAGAAATTTAATATGTGCTGCCATTCATTGACTTAAAACTTATATTTATGTGTTCTAGATGCTTCTAGAATTCAAGGAGTCTCAACGTTTCACAGCTTGCGCGAAGAGGAATTCTTCAGAGGAAAATAATGTAGGTGACAGTGTGACACAACTTAGTTTAGTTATAAATCAATTTTCATAGCAATAATTCCATAAATTTGACCTTTTCGAAGTGCTGATTAGTCATAATTCAATGGTGAGAAATTGGGACGTGCATGATTTGATTTAATTTTATATTGATTTATACTTGAAATTAAATTAAATTGACTTTTTAATCAATCATGTATCCAAGACAAAACTCACATCACGACAAATCAAATTAAAATATTTAAAAAATTATTTAGGATTAACTTATATTTTCTCTCATTTAATCATTTGTGTGTGCACATTTTTGAACTATCGAACTTATGTATTTATGCGTGCCACAGAGATACTACTGATAATTAATTAAAAACGAAAAAAAAAAATATGAGTTACGGTTTTACCATGAATTTTCATATTTGAGTGAGAATTTGAAAAATGGATGGAAGAGGGTGGCTCATTTGTAAATAGTAAGTAATCAAATGAATCAAATCGAGCCGAGCATGATCTAACTCGGGTTCCACACAGTTTGCAAAAATCTCACTAAGTCACAAGATGAGTCTTTCTAATAATGCCAACCTTACAAGGTTTAAAATGTTTATTTTTTTAATGTTAGAAATATAAATATCATTGATCGTGCATGAATAAAAAATTATATAAATAGTGCACAAATAATTTTTTTATTTTCATATATTTTAAGTGTAAAAAACATTATAATATAAAGTTATTGTCTAGCTTGATTTAATAAATTTATTATTTTTCAGGATAAGAGCGAGTCAATTAAATTTTTTAGAATAATAGTTTTTAATGGAGTGGGTGGAAGCTCGAGTGCAATTTAGCGACTATGAAATTCTTTCTTGTGAATAGGACTAATCAAGCTGAGATTAGCCCAATATATCATGGTGTTGAATTCTTGTAAGACGTAGGGTCTCGTACCATATGAGGGTATATACAACGTGGTGAAAGACTCGTTATCGTAGGAAGGGTGTCATAAGAAGAGAGTGAGACGAAATGTATTTTTGGGCGGAACGTTAATCAAAATTATTAATTCACGACCTCTGATTAGTTGGTGGAAGAAGGCTTCTTGGAGATTTTCGTAATTCATAGAGTTTTTAAGAAGAAGAGGAAGAGAGAGAGAGAGAGAAAAAAATTTCCTTAGAAAAAGATCTAGAGGGAAGAGAAATGAATGAGAGACCTCCCTTTTATTTCCTCTTGTTGGCACTTTTATAGATGAGATGGAAAATAACATAAAGTCATCAAAGTAGGATATCAAGAGTTATATTGTTGACTTCTCTCTAACCACAGTCATGACAAAAAGAAACTGTTGGTTAATGTCAAATATTGCAGACACGACGATCATCCCTGATGCTTGAGCAAAGAGATTGAATCCACAGTGTCGAGCGCCATCCTTAAATGAGAGATTGAGGATGTTCTGGTCAATCCTGATAGCTTTATCAAAATTGCTATCTTCATGGAGATTGGTCTGAGTATCTTGGGGTTGATGATGATAAATTAGATTAGTTACTTCGGCAGATGAGCTTGATTCAACCACTCGGAAGGTGGGTTTGATTAAGCGAAACAAAAAGCAATTAAGATTTTTGGAAGTCAGTATTTGTGTATGTTCATAGATTGAACTTAGCTTGGTCGAATACAAAAGTTGTTTATTTTGGATTCAAGCTTAAACCAAGCTTTCAAATATTGATGCATGTTTATACTAGACTTGCTTAAAATTTGTAATGATCACATTTGATTCGTACTTGACTTCTTTATTAAAGTTAAATAAACTTAAAATTTAAATAAGAACTTTACTTTATTTTCTAGATATAAAGTAATTAGCAAATTATTTTACAAATTTAAATAAGTAAAAAAATAAATTTTAAATTTGCAGCTAATTAATATATCAAAATAAATGATAATAATAATAAATAAATAAAATAAGATCAAAACTATAAGTAAGATTTTTATAATCAAAGAACATAAATAAGTACTAAACATATGAGTTTTTTGAAATAAAAAAAAAGAAGAAATTACATTAAATTCTTATAT